TCTATCGACAGGAGGACTCACTCAGAGTTCATTAACAGTAGAATTTTTATTTATTTTTTTATTAACAGTAGAAATAAAAAAGTAGCTTTTGTTTTCTTGGCCAAAATAAAGTTCTATAAAAGCAGTAACACAGCAAGCAGCTGAAACTTCAGTTTACACTGAAAGTGATCCAGTATTTGTTTRATATAACTGCTGGAAACCAAGTTTTTTAACCTTTAAAAACCAGATTTAAGTCTTCAGTTTAAATACTTTCATCTCTAAATAATGTTACTTTGTTTATTTTAATAAATGTTTGACATCTGATCTGATTCAGAACATAAATCTGGTCCAGTTTCAACACCAGGATATTTTTTTTTTACAAATAAAAAAATACTTTATTGATCCAAGAGGGAAATTAGGTGTTACAGTTTCAGCTTTAATTTAGCCAATTCAGCTTATTTCATGACTCAGCATTAGAATAAAACTGCGTATGTTAACTAAATTTACCAGAGAATTTCAACAAGTCTGTTCAAACGCAAAAACTTTTTACTAGTTTGAAAACAGAAGAAAACTGAGACTTCAGATCAAACCCTTCAAACAGGTCAGAGGACCTGTGCAGCAACAAGTTAAACTGTATATCTTTGTATCTGAATTATGCCTTATATTGTATTTTTGAATTTATTTTAAAAAAGCATTTTGTGATAAATAACAGGCATTGGAAAAGCTGTGGAAGCATACAACACTGCATCAGGTTAAAATTAACAATAAAAAACAAAAAAATAACAAGAAAAAATAAAATAAGATCAGAATAAAGTAAATTTGTCAGTTTGAAATAAAAGAAATAAAAGAAATAAAAGAAAGCAGAGGAATCTTCCGCCTGTTCACAGTTCTGTCCGGTTGGTGGCGGTAATGAAACTTTAAGCGGGTTTTACCAATAAACCCACGAAGAAGAACAACAACAGGAGAGAAGAAGAAGTCACTACACCCTCCGCTGTTTTTACTCCGAACTTTCCTTCATCGAATCGAACTTTTCTTCTTTCCTATCAGAACTCGGGTTTACAGATCCGGATCAGAAGCGGGTCCGCGAGTCCAAGCAGAGGTGAGGACCGTCCAAGAACCTCTTCCGGTTAGCTAAACCTGTTAGCACACAGGCTAACTGTGTCAGTCACTCATCTTCAGGGAAATCTGAAAACCGACTCGAGCTGGACTGAAGGCACCTGTTGTTGGTGTGTCACACCTGAGTGACGTCGACTTCATGTCACGTGACCGTTTCACAGCTGATGGTTGCATGTTGACGTCAGCTGGGTGTGTAGTGTAGCTTATTACTGTTAGTCAACTTTATATAAACAATCTTTGTTATATTGATTTATAAACACAACTATTCTCCTCACAAATATATCATTTGACAATAATAGAGATATTTTTTTATAAGAACAAGTTTCTTTACATGATAACTGGAGGAAAAAACAAACTAATAAAATCAAGCAACCGTAATTGTAATGAAATTCTTTGTTATAAACAAAGTTAAAGAAAAGTCTTATAAACTGGTCCACAGATTCTATCATACCAACCGATATTTGTCTAGATTTAAATCTGTTCCACGCAGACTGAAGACTCATTTGTTTTGGAACTGTGATGATATAATGAACCTTATATTTGTTATTTCCCCACAAACTCATCTCAGTTATGAGACTGTCATCCTTGGCTTTACTACTTTTGACAAAAAGAACTGACTCCTTTATGATCAACTCGTTCTTCTTGTTAAGTATTATAAACACAAATGCAAGTTCAGCACTAACAGACCTTTATTCTCTATTTTTATGAAGGACAAGAATTGGTACAATCATCTGATTGCTTCGTCCGATAATCCAAAAGCTGTGAAAACTTGTAAATTTGTTCAAAAAATGTAATATACTAGGACTTCATTATGTTTATTTTTCTTTTATTAGCATTATTATTATTGACTTTATTGTTTTTTAATGTATAGAATTCCACCCCCTGGCAAAATGTTTTCTTTTCTCTTTCTTTTCTTCTTACATCTCATTTTGTAAGTCAACACTTTGAAATTTGATGACATTGTTTGGAGGCTCCGCCTCTTTTCAGCAGGTCTTACTGAGGCTGTTTGTCGACCCAGCAGGGATTTTCATCGTCTGATCTCATTAACGCCGACTGAGGAAGAGGAGGAGGAGGAGGAGCTGATCCATCTCTGCTCCTCGAGACATGAGCCCTGCCCTCCTGCACTAGACCCGGACCAGGACTGCAGGCCAGGATGGGGAACAGCGCGCTGAAGTCCCACTTGGAGACGTCCCAGAAGACGGGCGTGTTTCAGCTGACAGGAAAAGGTCTGCCAGAGGTGAGGGTGTGTGTGTGTGTGTGTGTATGTGGGGGGGCTGACGATCCGGACTCTGAGGGTTCAGGTCTTTGAAGGTTTGTCTCGTTTCAGTTTCCAGAGGAACTTCAGAGACTCACGTCCAACCTGAGGACTGTGGATCTGTCCGGGAACAAGATCGAGGTCCTTCCTGCGTTCATCGGGAACTTCCTGCAGCTGAAGAGTCTGACCCTGAACTGCAACCGTCTCAGTGAGTGTCAGACCCCCTGGTCTTTCAGAAGACCCTTCTGTACGGGATAAATGTTGTGCCAGCAGGAAGTGAATTAGAATTGCTCAGATTGAATCTGAATGCATTGGTTTGAAAATAAATTTTACTAAATTTAAAGTTTTGTATCTGAATTAGTTTTTTTTAAACTGTATTTTGGTTTATTAAAAATTCAGTTTGACTACTTTCACTTTCAGTTCCATAATTCAGATTTTTGTGTCACATCCTGGTYCTTGAGAAAGCCAGGCAGAGTAATCAAACACAGATCCACAGATTTATGTTTCACTTTGGTGAAGTTTCCCTTCTGGATGTAACAGAGTTGATGCAATCCACTGTAAAAGTGACAAAAACACACAAAGTTATTTTATTGCAATGATTAATTTGACCTATATGTAGAAAATGTTACATTTACATGATGACATCATGGATCAGTCAGCAGCAGCATCTGATCAATATGTGATCCATGATGTCATCATGTAAATGTAACATTTTCTACATATAGGTCAAATTAATCACTGCAATAAAATAACTTTGTGTGTTTTTGTCACTTTTACAGTGGATTGCATCAACTCTGTTACATCCAGAAGGGAAACTTCACCAAAGTGAAACATAAATCTGTGGATCTGTGTTTGATTACTCTGCCTGGCTTTCTCAAGGACCAGGATGTGACACAAAAATCTGAATTATGGAACTGAAAGTGAAAGTAGTCAAACTGAATTTTTAATAAACCAAAATACATTTTCAAAGAAAATTGATTTAAATTCAAAACTTTAAATTCAGTTTAAATGATGCACACACAGATTCAGATCCTGTTGGCACAACATTGATCCCGTACTTCTGACCCTGGTTCTTCTGACCTGGTTCTTCTGTCCTCAGCTGTCCTCCCTGAGGACATCGGGAAGCTAAAGAAGCTGGAGACCCTGAGTCTGAACGGGAACCGGCTCCAGCAGTTGCCCCCYGCTGTGGGCCAGCTCAGAGCCCTGCGGACCCTCAGCCTGTCYGGGAACCAGTTCTCTAGTTTCCCCTCTGGACTGGGAACCCTGAGGCACCTGGACCTGCTGGACYTGTCTCAGAACCAGATCCGGACCGTTCCTGCGGAGGTATCTGAGCTGCAGGCTATCGAGATCAACCTCAACCAGAACCAGGTAACCGGGTCCTGTGTCCGGACACCCCAGAACTGAATCCTGCAGAGTCCTTCTGATGTGGTTTTCTGTGCCCCGGTCCAGATCTCAGGACTGTCAGCGGAGGTGTCCCGCTGTCCCCGTCTGAAGGTCCTCCGTCTGGAGGAGAACTGTCTGGAACTGTCCTCCATCCCCTCGTCCATCCTGACCCAGTCCCAGGTGTCCCTGTTCTCTGTGGAGGGAAACCTGTTTGAGGTAAAGAAGCTGCGAGACCTGGAGGGCTACGACCAGGTGAGACCCCCATCTGAGGGTGTACAGAGTCCAGGTCTCTTCTGGTCTTTAACAGCCTCTGTTCTGTCCTCTGCAGTACATGGAGCGTTTCACCGCCACCAAGAAGAAGTTTGCCTGAAGAACCCCTGAGAGTCCAAGTCCTGGACCCAACAAGACCTGACCCTGCAGCTAGACTGGTCTAACACCCCCCCACAAGACTCTGCAGCCAGACCGGTCTAATAACCCCCACAAGACCCTGCAGCCAGACCGGTCTACCCCCCACCTACCCAAGATCCTGCAGCCAGACTGGTCTAACACCCGCCCCCAAGACCCTGCAGCCAGACCGGTCTAACACCCCCGCTAAGACCTGACCCTGCAGCCAGACTGGTCTAACAACCCCCCACAAGATCCTGCAGCCAGACTGGTTCTGATGGAGAAAGATGCTAAAAACCGAGACGATGTCTCACTCTGGTGATGATGGACGACATGAATCTGATTTAACAAACAGACATTTCAGAGCAGTTCTGGAACTGTTCTGGATCAGTTCTGGAACTGTTCTGGAACTGTTTTGGATCAGTTCTGGAACTGTTCAGATCTGTTCTGGAACTGTTCTGGATCAGTTCTGGATCAGTTCTGGAACAGTTCTGGATCAGTTCTGAAACTGTTCTGGATCAAATGAACCTCACACAGCTGATCCACACAGGACAGACTCCTGGGAAGTTTTTTTATTTCTGAAGTGATTTTGCTAAAACCTCAGACCTGTACCTGACTGGACCCAGACCAGACGGAGGTCCAGAACTGTTGAATATCTGTGAACTTTGATCTGGATCCAAACAGAACCGACATGTTTGTCTCGTAGCTCCGGTCCTGCTGAGTTCGTTCACGTGTTGGGGAGACACCCGAACTTTGTTTGTCTGTAGATGTTCTGGTCCCGGATGATCCGGTTCATTCTGGTCCCAGATGTCCTGGACGTTCTGGTCTCTGATGTTCTGGTCCCAGAAGGTCTCTTTGCTGCCATGAGGGGCGATCATGTAATCGATGTTAGCGAACAGAAGGTGGTGGTAGCTGAGAGTTGTCCTCATCAAATCCTCTGAGGGCTAACAGGATCTTTGTTTCACACTTCAAAGGTTTTCTGTCTGAAGTCACTTCTGCACATTTCTGACACAAAACATCTGAATCTTCATCGCCTCGTTAGTATCCATCAGGTTCTGGTTCTGTGAAAACATTAAAGCTGCATGATTGAATCCAGGAGTTTTATTAAATGTTTGTTCTGTTTGCTCCTGATGTTCTGAATGTCTGAACTGATGAAATAAATGTTGGACTCATTAATTTATAAAACCTGTTTCAGGATGAACTGAACACCTGTTTTTCTGTCTGTTTTATTTCTGTTTGATTCATTCTGGTGCTTTTTCTCTGAAACAAACACACCTCCCTCATATTTGTCCACTTTAATCCTAATTTTAACTTTTGATTTTAAAGCTGCTTAAACTTTATAAATAAACAGAAGCTACGAAAATAAGTGAAAAGAAATCAACTTGTGCCTTTTCGATTCATCAGAAGGAGGCGCTGTGACTCCACATCTCCACGGGATTAACACATTGGTGATGCGCGCTAACTTCCGGTATTATGGTAACAYCCATCAGGAGACCCTTTCAACGTAAAAGACGTACCAGGTTTTCTGATTCAAACCAGTACAAGTTTTCAGCTCCAGATCTAGATTTTAGGAAGGAACGTGGTTTGTCTTGTGAAGGACCTGAATGGACACAAAAGTTTGTAAATAATTGGTTAAATTATCAGGTAATAATAACACCACGGTTTTATTTTGAAATYCCTCTTCGTAGATTGGTACCGTAATATCGGAAGTATGCGGACAAAACTAAAACGCGTAATTTAAGACTGGTCTGAGTGCACTTGTTTCTCATAGTTCTTTAAGTCCAAACTCCGGAGTCTCACTCCACCCACCGACATTTATCACTTCACMGGTTCTCACACCGGAGAACCTGTTTTTGTTGGCTGAGAAATGAGGCTCTAAACCGACGTTCATTGGGGTTTTTTTTCTGCCCAGAAACAAAATGAGAAGATGAAGCCGCTTCTGTGGACGGTTGTTGTTTTCCTCCTGAGCCTTTCAGGAACCAGAGGGAACGGTGAGTTCACATGCCATCACATGTAGAACTTGTTCTTACAACGTCTGCTCTGAACTTTTACACTTTCTATTTTTTTCAGCCGCACCTCAAAACCATGAAAGTCTATTTTTATCTAAGTAATTAAAATGGTCAAAAGTCAGCCGAATTAACAAGAAGACTCTGGCCGAGATAAATCACAAGTTTGATCTGATTTTAAGACAACTTAAACAAAGTTACAACTAAATAAACTTTAAAATGCTCAGATTTTCGAGGGAATCAGTTTGTTTAAAAGAAAATGAGTACCTGTCCTTCAAACTCCTCGTTCTCTGCAGTTATTTTTTCTTAAAAAACACATACATTAAAGGTCAAACAGTGCTTTAATCATTTGTAATGTGCAATAACTTTTAATAGCAGTATGTCGGAAAATGTGGGCAAAATTTTGAAAAACAGCAAGAAATATGCCCCCATAGACATCAATGGGATTTTAGGAAAATATGAGAAAAACTAGGTCTGTTTGGATCTGCAGCTCAGAAAGTCTTCATGACAGAAACATCATTTAGAGTTTACACTGCTAACAGGAAGCTGCACTTTACATGTCTGCAGTAACATTCTGATAAATGTAAATATTTTGCACACAATTACACTTTAAATGTAAGGAATTTTACAGATTTTTCCTCACAACATTCAACTCMGTTTGATGATGTCGTCTCAAGTTTTAGAAAAAAAATTTTCCCACAAAAACCTCTCTTACTCTGTCACCGCTTTTGGTAAACACATAAATCAGAATGAGTCTTTAACACAGGGTGTCTTATTMACAGGAGTTCCATCCCAGACCAGAACCCAGAGAACCCTTTGAGGGTTTTCTTTGGTCTTCGTTTCTTTCCATCAGTTCTCGCTGATTCTTCTTCTCGCAGGTGTTCTGTTCACCAAACACCCGTCCAATCAGACGGTCTCTCAGGGGAAAGAGGTGAGGCTGGGCTGCGCCGTGGAGGGCGTGACGGAACCGGACATCATGTGGATCAAAGATGGAGAGAAGCTGTACAGCACCGACCAGGTGTTCCTCACACTGGGAGAGCAGCACTGGGAGACGTCCCACAGGTCCGCAAACACTAATCACTTAACCAGTTAACTGATGAGTCATTTAACCAGTTAACTGAGTCATTTAACCAGTTAACTGATGATTTATTTAAACAGTTAACTGATGGGTAACTTAACCAGCTAACTAATGATTCATTTAACCAGTTAACTAATGATTCATTTAACCAGCTAACTGACGAGTAACATAACCAGTTAACTGAGTCATTTAACCAGTTAACTGATGATTTATTTAAACAGTTAACTGATGGGTAACTTAACCAGTTAACTAATGATTCATTTAACCAGTTAACTGACAAGTAACAACCAGTTAACTGATGGGTAAGTTAAC